ACACAAAGAAGAATAATGATTGCTTTCTGCCTGGTGTTTGATGTGATTTTTTAGTTTGAAATAAATCATAATTGGCATATTTAAATGCTAGAAAAATACACGGCAGATATACAAACACATACACAGACACAAAAGTGTCTACCAACACATATACATATATATATGTTTGTGTGTGTGTGTGTGAATATACATGTGTATTGATAAATATATATCATTATAGTAATTCATCGAGTCTAAAAGAATCCTCAACAGAATGCAGAAAGCACTGGATGGCCATTTCGTCCTATTTTTGACCCAGGTAATGCTCTGCAATGGAGCAGTTCAGGAGAAAGGAAAAATGTGTCTCTTGGGGCACAATCCGTTAAGTTATGAATACTTGGACAAGTATCACCACGAAATTTGTGAGTAGCGGCACTATATTGAGTTTATTCAGTTTCTTCTTTGTGACCGAGACCCATTGGTACAGTTGATATGATGCTAGTGTTGTATTGAAATACTCCAGGTTTGAATCTCGGTAGTAGATGAGTCCCAAAATAGGATGAAATGGCCATTCAGTACTTTCTGCATTCTGTTAAGGATTCTTCTAGATTCAATTAATTAATATAATGATTTGCTTAAATCCCCCAAATTCTATTATATATATATATATATATATATATATATATATATATATATATATATGTACGTGCATGTATGTATATATGTATGTGCATATGCAATGCATGTCGATGTTCATATATGCAGAATATACCTACTTATAGAAAACTGTATAAATATATCAACAAATGCATACATGTAATGAAATATTGCATGAAAATACATTTGCATATATCTATCTATATATATATATATATTGCATATCTATCTATCTATTTATATATTTATATATATATATATATATATATATATATATATATATATATATATATATATATATATATATATATATAATATATATATATTAAAATACTTTTTACAATTATTTTAAGACATTTTTTTATGTTTATACATTCTTTTTATAGATACAAATATTTAAGTAAATGCTATGTTTATAATAAACAGTATTAAACAACAGTTACAGGCCTGAATGTCCAGAGGACGAATATTTTCTATGAAAATTTCTCGGACATTCAAATAAAAATTTGTTTCATATTTATTATAAACAGAAACATTACTTAAATAAATATCTATAAAAAAATGTATAAAAAAAAAATGTAGGAAAATAATTCCATTCATAATATATATATATATATATATATATATATATATATACATGCACACACACACTCATATATATATATATATATATATATATATATATGCACACACACACACACTCATATATATATATATATACATATATATATATATGCACACACACACTCATATATATATATATATATATATATATATACAAGTTTCATGAAAGTTTTTCTTTTATTTTTTCATGTCTTCTTCTAATTTTCTTCTTTTCTGGCCATAAATTATGTAGAAATTGTCTGAATGCTTTTGGCTGTACTTTTAGCCATTATCCAAGATGAATTTATTTTTTACTTTTAACTGAATATATGGATTGTATTATGTATGTATCCAGAGATAGAGAAATGTTTTATTTATCAAACACAGTCAGCACATTGTGGCTGTGTTTATAGTTAATGTTATTGCTTCCATTATTTTTAATCATTTTGTACATGTGAATGAGGTTATGATATTTGTATTATCAATCAGCATGTTGCAGATGGAGTTTGGTAGTCTCCATGTATATTTAAATGAGACCTAATTGAGCTATGGTCAGAAAAATATATCGTGAGTCTTCTTGCTAAACATGTTGTAGCATATCCAATATAATTATTTAAAAATTTGGATTGGTCAGGAACACAGGACAGGTGAAGTTGTAAATAATACTGGTTCTCTGTAATTTGGATCTTGCAGGTGAATTATTGATGAGGTTAACAGTTTTAATTATCTACTATAGTCTTTTTCAAGCTTAATCAATCTCCAGGACATTAATTGATGATTGCATTCAAGCATGAAACAGACTGTGGCCACTCCCCCCACTCTCTCTCTCTCTCTATATATACATATATATATATATATATATAAATAGTGGTACTCGCTTGGAAAAACCTCCAAAACATGATACTATAACCACCTTAGTAGTTTCAATTCCGAAACTTACAAACACAGTACCACTTCGTCCTCTTATGTATGGAAGATCAAACAAGAGGATAATAACGACCCCATTTTGAAATGGGAAATATTAAAAAAATATCACAGATGTAAAGCAAGTGATAAATTATGTTCCCTATGCATGGAGGAAAAGTTAGCTATTGCTAGCTATAAAGAAGGCAATAATTTATTAAATCTAAAATCAGAAATTCTTAGTAGGTGTAGACATAGGAAATGCTGGTTATTAGAATAGGTTTTTTTTTTTTTATTTTCTTCTTCTTTTTTCTTTTTGTTGGTAAATAAAGAATGTAACACCTACCCCACCCACGCCTGTTGAGTTTACTGGTTTTACTTGTGTTTTTTTTTTTTTTTTGTCATGTGGTCATGGTTATTTTTGGTTTAAGCTATATATTCTGTTCCATTTTTACATCTTTGGCCAGTTTGACCCTGATGATCCATTTAGGTGAAACCTAGGTAGGTTTACCTAGCTCTTTAGGTTTATATTATATTATATATATATATATATATATATATATATATATATATATATATATATATATATATATATATATATATATTAAAAAAATTAAAAAAAACTGCAAATGTTTTTTGGTTGTAATGTGGATTTTTTAAAAAAAAATATTATGATTTATTTTCCATAAAATTATGGAAAATAAAGCATAATATTACAAAAAATCACATTACAACAAAAACATTTGCAGTTTTTTCTTTTTTAATATACAATTTTTCTCTCATTGGAACTACTTTAACTTCTTCAAAAATATATATATATATATATATATATATATATATTGAGTATCAATCCATCTTTTAAATTTTCTTTCATTCATGCAAGTATTTTCTTTTCTGGACATAAAATGTGTAAAACTGTCCAAATGTTTTATATACCCGAGTGCTTTTGGTGATTCTAATAGATATAAACAATTTTTTTTTATTCAATAAGTAGATTTTTATATATGTGTATTAATAGTGATGGTAATGTTTTGATTTTGTTTCCAAACACAGTCAACACATTTTGGCTGTGTTCATAGTTGTGTGTTGCTTTTCTGTTTTTATTAATAATGCTTCCATTATTTTTAGCCTTTTTACATGTGGATGAAATTATTATAGTTGTACTTTGCACATTTATTTTATGGACAGAGTTTGGTACGTTTAAATGAGTCCTAATTAAGCTATAGACAATTTTTACACACTTTATCTCCAGAAAAGAAAATACCTGCAAGAAAATTTAATAAAAAATTTTAACAAAATGCTGAAGTACCTTGCCAGTCATCTTTTTAAAAACTTTATATATATATATATATATATATATATATAAGTTTTAGGTATATATATATATATATATATATATATAAGTTTTTATAAAAGATGACTGGCAAGTTATGTGCACAACAGCATCTAAGGTCAAAATACATTATATATTTTGACCTTGGATGCTGTTGTGCACATGTGGTGAACAGTCCCGTAGAAACAAGTGGCTTGCATCTAGTGTAAAGGAAAATAAGGGTCTTACCTCAAAGTGCAGTACATGGCATTGGCAATTTCATTCCTTGAAAGTGGCATTACTCTCCCATCTGGCCATTCCAGCAGTATGTGTGGTAACAAGGGTTTTTGTACAGTTTGGCATGCTTCAAGCAATAGCAAGTCGTGTGCTGATTGGTCGAACTGGAGGAGGCTATTTACCTGGGTAACTGAGAATAAAAGTGAAGAACACTGATGAAGAACATGGTGTTAGCCTGATAAAAGAGGGCTGAAGCAGTGAGAAGGGGAGAAAAGACAGGTGTGCGGAAATGGTGGATTGAACCAGCTGTATCTTGAATTGTATAAGAAACGTCCGAGTAATTGAGACGAATTTAAGCTATTGCACACTAACTTATAATGTTCTTGCTTACCTCCTTTGTTTATAGCAGGACTTTAAAGGAAAATGTGTAGAGTGTGGTCATCTCATCACACCACAGAGGTCCAATCAGTGACCAGAAATGCTTCCATCAATGGAAACAATGCTGGATAAATTGTATTGCTTCAGAAGGACACTAATTTGAAGGATATTAAATACCAAGTAGCCAGCTATATATATATATATATATATATATATATATATATATATATATATATATACACACAAATATATGGTCTAATCAAAAAGTATTGGGATTGTTGCTAAAGTGAAGCCACCATTTGGCACAGATTGACCTTAAACTTTGTCATGCATACACAATAAATTATAACATTCTCACTTACTTCCGTTGTTTATAACAGTGCTTGGAAGGAAAATGTGTAGAGTGTGGTCATCTCATCACACCACAGAGGTTCGATCAGTGACCATGGCTTGTGCAGCAATTTTTAGCCAAAACAACATTCCCTAGATCTGACAATGACCATGTTCCCTAGTTTTCACCACTTGCAACGTTTTCCTCTTTAAAAATTAAATCCCATTTTAAAGGAACAAGATTTCATGAAGTCAAGGAAATCCAAGAGAATGCAACAAAACTGCTGCTTGTTATTTTCCCCCCACATAAAAAAAAGTTCCAGGAATGCTTCCATCAATGGAAACAATGCTGGATAAATTGTGTTGCTTCAGAAGGACACTAATTCGAAGGAGATTAAATGAAAAATTGATATGTTTTGTAGTTTTCTTTTTATATCACCAGTACTAATACTTTTTGATCAAACTTTCTGTGTGTGTATATATATATATATATATATATATATATATATATATATGAGGAGGTGTAGCAAAGCTTGCAGACCAACCCATTTCCCAAATAACTAAATTGTATTTTTAAAGGGCTTTTAGTCAGTCCAAGAACAATTCATATAAGGATAGATAGATAGATAGATAGATAGATAGATATGATGGTCTGTAGATATGAATAGGCATAGAGAGATAGACAGATAACTTACCATTCTATATGTAGGATTTTTGGTGTGGTTTTTTGCTTTAAACCTGCCCCCCACGAATACACAAGCAAAACTTTTGATAACTTAAAGGAACCAGTTCTCAAAAATTGCCCAAAATACGTTCATCAAAGAATGTTTTCTCAAGGATAATCAATAAATTGATTGATTAATAAGGCATCTCTTCTGGCAATCAGTCACAAAAATAAATTCCATTCTATTAGTCAGTCTGTCAGATCTTTTGGGCCAAACACATCAGAAAGAAAAATAAACATTTTGCCTAAAAGAAAGAAAAATTATGTAAGTAGGGAAAGTAATACTTATAAATACATATATTATAAATACTTATATTATAAATACCTATATGAAGTCTGTGCTAACGGAGACCCTTTAATGAAGAGCAGCATTCATTAAGATAGGTGGAAAGGCAATTTCAATGTGTCCCATGTTTAGAGATTGTCTAAATTATGAAACTTAAAGTAGAAAATTTGTTCATATGAAAAATCTTTTAAAAACAAGCATGTATTAAAAAGTATTCCAAATTGATATATTTGAATAGAATCTATTAACCAAAATTACTTGTTATATGTGATGGTTGTCGACTGGTTGTATGAAGATGGCCAACAAAAGGTTTTACTGTTCAATACCCTTGTGACTGTGCAAATGGCTTTTTAAGTCCAGCTACTGACTCTTATACTGCTGGGAGCAGATGACTTTTTGCACAATTTGCCGTGTCAGGCTATGTTTTAATTTGCAAACGTTGTTACAATTCACACATTTATAGATGTCCATTTCATAAGCAAACACTGGTGGGCTTTCAAGCCCAGCTCTTAAAAGGCCGATACAAGTGTACACATTCCACATTCTAATATCAATTTAAGAGCTGTATTCAGACAGCACTTACAACCAAACCATGATTTTATGTTGTGCTGATTTTCCATTGACCAGTTTAGAATATCTGATTTGGAAGCTGGTGGTGTGGCATGAGAACAAATTTTCCAGCCCAACTTGCCCTGATATATTTTTTGAGATTTTTTTTTTTTTAATCATTTCACCCTAAGCAGTGCAATAAAGCCACTATGATGCAAGGGTTACTGAGTGCTACAGAATATGACAAAAACTACTATTAAGGAGAGAGGACAATAAAAGAACAAGAATGAAGAAGACAGACTGGTATTGCATTAAAGTTTTGAAGATCAAAGTTGACTGGGATGCAAGAAGCCAGCAGAGAATTCCACAAGCAACTGAGAATTGCCAGAAAAGAAACTGTTAGCATAGAACTTATGGCTACATCTAGTCAATTCAACTGTGAATTGATGAGACCTTGCCACCAATTTGGTACTGCACTTAAATTCATAACCTTACAGTAGAAGAGGTTAAAATATTATTACGAAAGAAAACATCCACTTGGGAGTCTGTTCCACAAAGTAGCAGTTCCAGGGAAGAAGCAAATTTGAAATTTCTTCCTATCAGTAAGATACAAAGGGAATGGGGCTGTACATGTCATGATGGGATTTAGCTGTGAAGGACTGAAGAGGTGGTTTATTTTTGTTTTTTTTCTGTTAAGTCTGATTAGATGAAAAATCAATGAAAACTTTTAAAATATTGATCAGGTTGTATACTTATATACACATATACATACATGTATACACACCATAAGCATTCAGATGCAATCATGTGTGTATGAGTGTACAGTTTTCTTATATGTATATGTGTGTGTATGTGTATGAAATGTCGTAAAAATTATTTTGAGCAACCACTTTCTAAAACCAGTTGGCCAGATATCAAAATATCTTGGGGAATCTATTCTTCAGGTTAAGAACTTTTCAGCACCCCTAAGTTTTAGGAATTTGTGAAAGTTTCAAAAATTATTATTTGAAAAAACTCCTATCAATTAAGCAGTGAAAATACAAGCTACATTTTTTTATGTCAAAAATCATGCATGTTACATTTTTTCAGGACCGTTTTTTAGTCTGTTAAGATGCAGCAAGTTGACATAGCATCACTTCCACAAGTGGACAAAAGATAATGGCGTGATGTTGAGTCAAGCCTTCTCTACAGCTGTCCGACATTATGTATCAGGGAAATATATTGCCACACTTTTTATCAGTTATCTCCAGAATGCCCTTTGAGCCAATTCAACACATCTTGGAAGGAATGACACAGTGCAATATCCTGCTGCAATTGTCCATCACTGTTGGGTTGTATAGCCATGAAGTAGTGTAAGGGTCACAGGTCAATGATGTATTTAGGTAGAGCAGCAGACCTAATCTATACCAGGTGAACACACAGCCAACACACAGTTATGGAACTATAAGGAAAAATGTCTGGTGATTATTGACAGCTGGGTCCACAGCTTCTTAGGGTTTGTGCCACAGCCATACTCTTCTAAAAGAGAGAGAACTATGAGTAAAGAGACCCTGTCACATGTTGCCAGTTCTTTAAGGTTCAGATAGTAAGATCACAAGCCCAGGTGAGATGTTGTGTTTGGTATCATCATACTAAATAGAGCTTACTGGTGGTACTCCCCATACCTTTTTCCCTACAAGCTTAAGTACTGACTTGCTGAAACTGATAAAACCTCCACTGAATGGGGATGTGATTTATGTTGTAGCAAACAAGGTGTTATGACAGACATTTCTAATATGACACTTCTGGTCACAGTCAGATCAAAGACCTGTGGTCAGCCACTGTTCACAGAGTTGGTGGCAATGCCTTCCATCAGCTCTTTCCAGTATATATGTGTGTGTGTGTGTGTGTGTGTGTGTGTGTGTGTGTGACATCATAGATCAAGAGATGTCAAGTATCTACACAATTTCAGAACTGGAATGTCCCATACATCCGTGATCAACTATCATGCCTCATTCAAACTCCAATAATTCATGTCACCTTTCCATGGTCAGCCTAGCCAGCATTCACACATGTGATGTACAAGGTGCAAGACACAGCAACAACAAAAAAAGTATTCAAACAAAACAACAGTTTATTACATTATTTGCCTACAACATATATGGCATTCATATTTACAATGAAATAATTTTCATATATATATATATATATATATATATATATATATATATATATATATATATTATTATTATTGGAGATTATAACAATTCGCCAATAATAAATGATATTTAGCTCTACTCTGTATTGAGGCCTCTTTTAAATTAAATTTTATGGACAGTGGAATTATACTCCGTTTGTTCCTATCTATCTATCTATCTATCTATATATATATATATATATATAGAAAGATAGGTAAATGCATACATATATACATATATATATATAATGGACTCTCCCATCAGTTTCGACATATGAGGATCTGACAGCTTATTGATTCACTTATGAAAGATATATATATGTCTTATATATATATATATATATATATATATATATATATTTTTGGTTGGATAGATTTGAGTTTTTGTGACCCTGGGTTTCACGCTTTAGCGATCGTCAGACAAACTGATCTATCAACCAAAATATTAGCTCTATCTCTGATATTGAGCGCTTTCTAATAAGTACATTGCATATAATATATAAATAATTATACATATATATATTTATTTATATTTATATATATATTTCATATATATATATATATATATATATATATATATATAGATAGATAGATAGATAGATAGATGTAGAAATTATATACATATATGAAGGTTTTAATTTTATATATATATATATATATATATATATATATATAGAGAGAGAGAGAGAGAGAGTTAATAATTGTGAGGATTTGCATCTATGCAACTAAAAAAACTTTCAAGTAAAAATGAGTCAAGTAAAAAAAAAATTATTATTATTATTATTATTCTCTTAATGTTCTATCTTTAACTTCAATATTGAGCACTCTACCAAAATATATATATATATATATATATATATATATATATATATATATATATAGTGGGGAAAACAAATATTTGTACACATACAAATTTTTAATTTATTATATTTCCACTTAACGAATAAACATACTTTTCATATAATTAACTTTACACAGATACATAATAACTAAATATGCATAGAAAACAGAAAAAAAATTTTGATTTAATAGAAATAAATCCCATTTATCCATTTTCATCGATGAAATAAGTATTCATGCAATAGAAAGAAGAATATATATTCTTCATTTAATTCTTTGTAGAATAGCTATTATTCACTTCTACAGCAACCAACCTCTTCAATTGCAAAAAACTGTGCTACTGTAAAAAAGAATATGAAATAAAAACAAAAGGAAAAACTTATATTAGCTGATGTGCATAAGAATAATAATTCTGAAGCAGGTATATATAAAATAAACTGTCACTACTGTTCCTCACAATACATTGGGGAAACTTGTAGAAATTTAAAAAAAAAATGTATTTCTGAACACAGAAAGTATCTTATACATAACAATTTTTCATTAGTCATGCATAGAAATAAACTCAACCACAACTTTGATCTAAAGAATGTTACACTTATTAAAAGAGAAAGTAACTTTGAAAACTTTTACCAAAAATATCAATCTGTTTCATATTTTACCAAAAAGAAATAATCATTTCCCAAGCCAACACCCCAAAATTAAATTCAAAACCCTATTGTTATTCAAAATACAGAATACATAACTTATAATTTGAGGTTAAAAGCTTGAGCATTTGAATTTAAATTGAGCTTTTAAGGAAGGTGATGTTGACTTCTGCAGTGTGGTTGATCTATCTGATGCCAAATTTGCTCGTCACCTAATATGACAAGAAAATCAGCAGTCCAGGAAGTTTTTCTCCCCGGAGTCGATCCTCCAGATCTACAAATCAACAATTCGCCCTTGCATGGAGTATTGCTGCCATATCTGGTCTGGTGCCCCTTCTGTTTGCCTCGGGGTTCTTGAAGCGGATATACAATGTAGTTGGCCCTGCCCTGGCATCTCGTCTACAGTCACTTTCTCACAGACGCGCCGTCGCCTCCCTCTGTCTGTTCTACAAATACTTTCATGGAAATTGTCCCAAGGA